TGCCCACCTGCGTTCTCCCTGACTCTCATGAAAAACCTCTCAAGTCTTTCTACGACGAGTGTCAGGCCTTTCCTCCTCTTGAAGAATTTCCTTCTTCCCCTTCCATTCCTATATTCTTGGGTTTTTTGGGGTTTTCCCCTTTTAAAAATCAAAACAGGAGATGGTCAAGTGAATTGCAGGGGGTGGGGGTGGACACACGCGCACACACATGCCTAACTAGCCATCCACCGAAGCACACACATACCTGGTGCCTAGAATGTTTGCCAAACCCTCCCTCACCCCTTCTAAGCGCTCGGTTCCCAACACACTCCGCTCCTACAGTGCGCCCCCGGCCTCATCACAACTGCCGGAGATTCGCGAGGGGCCGGTCCGGAGTGGGAGCCGCCGCTGTTGGACTGAGTTCCAGCGCCGGCGGCTGCAGGCTCCGCTGGAAGGCAGGCCGCCGGCCTTTAGGACGACTAAGGGTGAGCCGGCGGGACCTGGCCGTGGTCGAGGACCACTCAGGCCTCCCTCTTCCGTGACACACCGGGTCGCCCAGACGAAAAATGGTGGCTCTCTAGCCAGAGACCAAGAGATTGAGATGCTAAAAGTGCGGCTTCATATGTTAATCAAGCCCCTCCCCCCTGCCCCCTTCCTTCGGAGCCTTTTCAGGGGCAAAGGACCCAGGGAGGTAGGTGGTTGGGTAGGTAAGTGAGGGGGTGGGCCTGCGGATCTTAGGTTTCTCTGGTGCCTCTGAGGATTCTCTCCCCCACCTTCCCCTTTCTGCGGATGTCAGCATTTGGGAGACACAACTCCTCCCATGCATGTAGGCCCCTAGGAGAATTTATTCCTACCTGGATGGATGTCGACCATTATTAGACAATTTCAGCCAAGTGTAAAACCAAAGTGCAATCCCTTGCAAACTGGGAGTGGGGGGTGGGGGTGTTGGGGGGGGCACGAGGAGGAGGGTGGTGTTCCCCTTCCATCTTTTTAAAAAAATCATTTTATTGGGGGCTCGTACAACAGTTCATCAGTCCATCCATCGATCCATCCATCATCCATCCATCGTGCCAAGCACATTTGTGCATTTGTTGCCATCATCATTCTCAAAACATTTGGTTTCTGCTTGAGCCCTTGATATCAGTTCATTTCCCCCTCCCTCACTGCTACTCCTTCCTCATTAACCCTTGATAATTTATAAATTATTATTATTTTGTCATGTCTTATACTCTGGGACGTTTCCCTTCACCCACTTTCCTGCTGTCCATGGCCCAGGGAGGATCTTGGTCCATCTTTTAATAAATCCTGTCATGTCTTTCTGCCGAAGTTGGAGGGGTTATTGATTGGGCCCACATGTTGGAGGTAATGCTGAGGAGGAAATAGACACACACACACACCCAATTCAACAAATTACACTCTAATTTATAGGTATAGATAACCACTTATTGATTAAGTGGCTGATGGGCCATGGCTGGGGTGGGGGTGCAGGGTATGGGGCTGGTGGGCCAGGCAGGCTGAAACACCCTAGTAGTTGATAAATAACCTGTTAAATTTGGCTTCTGTCATTTTGGCTGAGGCTTGACTAAGGCTTGCGCACATGCGCGTGCGCGCACACACACATACACATCGACCAGTTTTGAAATAAACAGTGGCTAGGAACACCTCAGCCTGAGGACTGCAAACATTGGGAATTCCCCCAAAACATTCCCACTTTGAGGAACTGCGTTTATCAACCATTGATCGTCCTTCCCTGCTGGTGATTTGATGCCTAATCAGCTGAGTGTGTTCTGCTGTGCTCTGGGGACCCAGAGTCCTCCAGCTCGCCCATTCACCCGCTGGCTTTCACTAAAAGCTCATTTGACTGCGGTGTGGCTTTTTGGAGTCTTGGAACCCAACCGGGTACAGCTCTTCCCAAAGAGCTGTCTATCTGCTGAAGAATTCTCAGTCACTAGGTAGGCCACTCAAGTGGGAATCCATCGATCAGGATCGGCGGAGAGAGATCAAAGGGACAGATTTGCCACTGAACCGATCCTGACTGGCGGCGGCAGGTTTCCTCTTGAGATATCACAGTTGCTGCGGGTGGCACCAGAGAAGCGGGCACGGGACTGACCACCGTGATTGGAACACATAGAGAGATGGGGTGCATCCGAAGAAGAGCTTACAAGGTGGCTCTGGGAACCTCTGACTGACCCAAGCAGTCAGGAGATGG